ACCCTGTAACAATACATCGATGTTTTTCTTTTTTTGTTTAATGGGAGTTCCTATTGTTAGTTATGAGAATAGAGCGATCAAAAACTTTCTCTTTTTGTCTGCAAACTTTGTATTTTCAAGTGATATTTTCTTATTTTATTCTTTCAGAAAAGAAAGTATTATATTACAAATAGATTGGAGCACTGCTTCTCAAGAATAAGAAAAAGAACTCAATCATAAGCATAATCACAAAGTAGATGAAGATATATTGGTTACTAATAAAGCATCTTAATCTTCTTCATAAAATTTTAAAGCTGGTTCAAGAAACTTTTTAAAAGTTTCAGCACAAGTTGGTGAATTTAGTCTAAAGTAAATAAAAGAATCAAAGATCAGTACAATAATTAACAAAAAAAATGAATCATTTCTACCCATATTGCATCCATTTATTTAAAAGAGGTTGTACAACTGTTTTCAAAGCTATTGGTTCTTGACTTAACCAAATGCCAAGTATACGAACAGTTGCTTGAAGAACTGCGTCAAATGTCTAACAGAAAACGTATTGCTGATAAAAATAAAATGATTTCAGCTGATTTTTACTTGTTTATTTTCAACATTATCAATAATTTGATTGATGAGAAAGATACAACCATGAAACATGTCAATTAATTTAGACAGAACCGATGAAACATCATCATCAGTTAATTCATCGGATTGACAAATAGCAGCTATAGTGTATTCAATGATCAAATAACAAGCAGCAAGATGTTGTTGATGTTCTAAAATCTATCATCAACGAAAATAATAGTTCTATTGAGTTATATCAATAAAAATATAATAATATTTACTTCATTTATATGAGGATTCTCAACCATCATACGTACTTCAACAGCACATAACAGAACCAATAGTATAAATAGATTTTTATTATGTTTACAAAGAAATGAAACAGATTTATGCTGTTCTATCAAACAAGCATAGACATCAATAAGAATAGCTCTCTGTTCGTTTCCTTATAAAATAATAAAAATAAATATATGATTAATAATTCTAGATCTTTTTTTTATTGAAAACTTACGAAGACGACATTGTAATAGATTTCCAAGATTATCAAGCAAGATATTATCTGGTAACGATTGAAATACATCCTAACCAAAACATGAATGTATACAAATAATCGAAGAAATAATTTTAGATTAATTGATAAACATACATTAGATATAGTAGGAATGACAGAACAAAGTAATTGGCAAGCTTCAAAGAATTTTTCATTCTATAAAAAAACAACGACATTATTATTATTAAATTATTTCAAAAACCTAAACAACTAACCTCAGTACTACTCAATGATTGTGAACATAAATCAAAAATTTTTTTACATGCTGTTACATCCATCGCTTCTTAAAAAAATTATTCTTTTCTAAAACTTATAATAATTTTCTTTGAAATTATTTATTTTGTTTATCTTAAAAAAAAAGCCACCATTATGAAAATTATAGTAGATGTTTTCTACAAACGAAAAAATAAACAATGTATTGTCTTGAACAACTTAAATATATAAACAACACAAAAAAGAACATACAGACTTTGTTGTCCATGACACAAAAAAAAATAGACATTCAAACGAAAAACGGACGGAATCATAAACACACGAACGTTCAACATAAATAAACAAAACGTGGATTTGATATGTTTATTATTATATATATATATATATAATATACTGTACAATGGAAGACTATTGATGATTGATTCGAATCAAGTCATTTGTACTGTTTCATCGAGTTGTTGCTCATTTGTGATATCATCATTATCTTCATCATTATTTTCATCATCTGGTGGGATATATGTAAATTTTTCTTCTTCAAAAATTTCTCTAGCTCGTTGAATATCACGAGTTAATCGTATTGCTCGATCATGTAAATCACATCGGAGTAGAGAACGTTGACATGGTTTTCCACTTGTCGTTATTGTTGTTATTTTATTCGAACGTTGAGGTTGATTATGAAGAAATTCTATATATGGTCGACGGTTTTCATCCTCTAAATCAAGAAAACAGAATTTAAAATAAAGTTCTTTTCTCATTCCTAAGTTCTCGTTTTTGTTTCTTTCATTTATTACGATTATTTAATAAATTTAAATGTCCTTCGTCTACTATTAGCAAGAAAAGTACCCGAACTAATGCTTCCCGTGTGAAATTACATGAGGTCCATAAGGAAATCTCATTAAGACTAAAAAAAGACTAAGAAAGTTCGTCTTCATAGGTTTTGAAAGCCGAGTTACGATTACTTTATTGAATTTTTGATTTGACTTTATATAATTACTGACAAATGAAAAACAAAATTTTGACATAAAATTTTGCTCTTAGATAAGTCGAATGATCTTTAGCATATCCTGAAAGTTTTAACCATGAAGAATATTTTTTGTCGAGATAATCAATCTCCAAAGTATGATTGTTTGCCACAAACATGATACAATTATTGACTTGACTCCGAAATTCAGCATCTCGATAAAAAAATATGTTTGTTTGGCTGAAATTTTCAGAATACTCAAAGAATTCATTTTCCAGTAAACTGCAAAAAATGGGTCGAAACTTCAATCAAATGATGATAAATTAGCTTCACAGATTCTTCGCGACGAACTCTTTGAAACTTTTGCTAGTCTTATCAAGGTATCCTTGTCAGACCAACATAAACTCAAAAGATTAACATCTGTAAGCGAAGAACTATTGAGAGATTCTGAATTGTTAATAGCTGTTCGTCCACATATACAAATCTATTAATCCTGGAATGTTTGAAAATTTTTCGCCTAGTTATTCTTCCGAAACTTAAAGAAATATACTAACCTATTACAAGAACATTTATGATGGAACTAAAATCGTATACTTCAGTTATTTCATAATCTGATTCATCTTGATTAGTTTCTGTTCGATAGATAATTACACGTTGAGATGTAATCATTACCTAGAATAAAAAAATTTAAATAAGAAATTGTTATTTCTAAAAATGAAATCAATTTTCATACATGCATGCAACAACTTCGTTGATCAGGTGCATATTCATCATTATTAACATTATCTAATTTTCGTTTCGAGGATGAATTAGCAGGTGTTTGTGAAATAGTTATTCGTGTGATATATCTTTCTGTTAAATCTCCTTTGTTCATTTGATATAATAAACATTGACCATTAGCATCAAATGTTGAATATGGTTGTAGAAGTCCATAGATATTTGTTGGACATCGTGTTGTTCGTATACGACTTTTAATTATGGAATTTGATGAACGTGAACCTTCTTTAACTGCTAATGCCAAACCATTTGCAAAATCAAGTATACCAACCATTGGTTTACTTACTGTTCCAACAATACCTTTTGCAACACCTTTCATCAAACCACCAACACCATCTTCAACAACACTTTTATATGGTTGTGTTATAATTGATGTTAAACCACCAATAAATCCAGCTGCTAAACCTACTGTTCCACCAATAACATGACCAATTGATGAACCACGATAATTATTTGCAATAGCTTCACGCATATCATCATGTTCTTCATCTAAAGCAAGTTTTCCAAGTCCATATGAAAGTGTACCTGTAAATTTTGATGTTGAATCAGCTACACCATGTGCAACACTTTTAACTAAACCAGCAACACTACCATGATCAACAAGACTCGCAAAACCATCGGTTACATCATTAAATAATCCAAGTGGATTACCAAGAAAATCAACACTTCCTAAAATTTTAAATGCTTGCCGTTTAAGTTCATCAACATAATGTGTTGTAAGTGCAAGTAAAAAGAAATCATATGTATTAAATATATGTATCTGACCATAAGATTTTAAATGTATTGGTGCATTTTCAAAACGTATTAAAGGAAATGGTGCATGACGTTTTATTATTAATAAATGTGTTGGTAATGAACGTGAATTAGCACAATAAACACTTAAATCAAGATCGATGGATGATATTGATAATTCATAAAAATAAATTCTTGTTGCTTGTGTTGATGTTAATAATGATAATAAACGTTGAGTATCATATTCACCTTCATCTAAATCATATGTTTGATCTTCATTTTTTAATGTTTTATCATTTGATGATGAAGAAAAATTAATATTAAAAAAATCAAATAATTTCCATAGAAGAATTTCATCAATTTTAATTGTAATAGAATTTACATCAATAGTTAAATAATGAAATATGTATAATTGTCTAAACATGAGATAAAAATCTGTTATTAAAATCCCTAGAGAATTAAAATATGAAACATGATGAAGTTGCTGTTGTTAATCACAGAAAGCTTATTTTATTCTATCTTTTTTGAAACATATTTGTTCATCATCCTTTTACTTAATCATCCAGAAAGGTAATGAGGAAATAATTTAACAAAACATTATCATTATATAGTCTCCGACGCGAAGAAAAGACAACGTTGCCATAGTTTTCGTATGGTTCTGCCCAGAAGAGAAAAGAGTCCAGGAAAAGTCTTCCAAAGTTATAGAGAAATCATTCATTCATCATTTTTATTTTTTTAGAAAATTATATTCTCAGTTGAAACTTTTAATACTTTCGTTATCAATGATGAACAGATTTAAAACTTTACAGCTTTGCTTAAAAGATTGATCGTGCACTGCTTGTGGTATCCTACAAAAGTATACTACACAAATATTTTATGAACACTATTTAGTTATTTATGTATGTGAACATAAGATATTCATCGAATACCTAATAAATTGATTTTTTGATATGTTGACAATTAAATCATACTTTTGACTTTTGTCTTAGGGTCATCTTTCGGATATGTTACTCTTCAAAATATGGTTTGATTCAGGTTCTTGTTTGGAGAAAATAACTGGTACAATCTGTGATGAAGCAAAGACACTACTGCTAAGGATATTTATCATGCCTGTAAGAACAGGTAGATTCACATTTTTACCTCTATGCTTCAACATTCCTTTGAGATCATGTTGCGCAAAAAGTAATTCACAAAAGCAAAAAAAAACTTTCGGAATAATTTGACTTACTTATAATTAGCACTTGGTTTTTGTAAACTTGCTTGTAAACAAAAAGCTGCTCGTATAGATGTATCTTCAACATAAGGTGCATAAAGTAAACATGGTGTTGATGTCATTAATAATTGATTTGAAATAACTATTGTACCAATCGTACAATCAATGGATTGTTGATTATTATCATCTTTACATACAAGATTAATATCATTAAATATCATAAAAACAAGTTCTTCAGATTCACGACCCATAGAACTAATTATTGATAGACCGATACCACTTTCAAGGCGAAGATCAAAACGATAAGTCATGGATGCAATATTATCAGCAGTTGTTAGTGATGTCGTATCTGTTGTTGATGATAATGTTTCTAATTTGAGATTATCGGATAAATTAGTTGTTTTAACATTAGCTATTTCAAGTATACGTGTTGGACCATCAGCATATGTTTGTACAGATAAAAGACCTGAACCTTGTAAACGTCGACGTGGTCGAATATACATTGTTGGTAATGGTGGAAGTATAACACCTTGATCATTAAAACGACGTGGTCCAAGTACTACTTCACTTTTTTCTTTTAATTCACCAAATACTTGTACACACATTTGCGTTTCTCCCATACATAGATATCCATCATCTGTAAATGTCCATGTTTGTGTTAATATTCGTTTAAGATCATATCGTCGAATAGTTAAACGTATAGAACGTGTCATAGAATGAACATTCTTTAAATTAGTTGCAGAAGTTTCTTCAATATCTAACACAAATGAATTTCGTATATCATCCGATACATCATTTTTATTATTCCAATCACGTGGTGATGATGAACCTGTATGTACTAATATACCTCTACTTGTCATACGCCATAATTGTGAACGTTTATTTTCTTCACGTTGTGAAAGTACTAATTTACCTTGAATATAATCAATAACAAGTTGTTGTTGATTTAATAAATGAAATGTATGTCGATCATTAATTGATTTAGATTTTTGTGAAGAATGTTTTGATTGATATTGTATTATTTGTCCTTCATTAAATGTTTGTTCAAATGCTAAACATATATGATTTTCATAACATAAATTTTCTCCATGACCAAGTTTTTGTAAATCATAAGTTTCTTTTGTACCACCAACAACAGAGCATGTTATTGTTTGTTGAAGTGTTGGTTCATCCCAAGCATAATCTATTGTTTGATGTGGTTGAATAAATGCACGTAAATAGGTTAATTCTTCTCGTGTTTCACTCTGATAAAATTGTATAGGAACATCAGAAAGATTTTTAATACGAAGAGGTGCTGGCATTTGATTAGAATCCATAAAAACAACAAAAAATGTACCACCACGTTCAATTACTTGTACTCTATAATATAATAAAAACAATGTAACTTATACATTTCTCAAAAACTAATTCAAGTTAGATTAACTCATTCAAAAGTTGTTAGCATAATCCCTCAGAGATTGAAATGTAAAACATAATGTAACTGCTTTTGTTAATCAGAGAAAGTATCTGTTTTTTTATGGCATATTTCTTCACCATACTTTTATTTAACTCTTCAGAAATATAAATACGAAGTAGTTTGTTTATTATCACAGGACATTATTGACATACGGCCTGTGATAAAGAGGGAAGACAGTGTACCTTTTCCGCTTTACAGACGAATATGTAACTATAGTTCTCAACAACGGCCTTTCGTTTTTTGTTCAGAAGTGATCGCATATCATTGAAAGAATATCATTTTTAAGAAAATGAAGCATTTTTGAAAACAAGGATTTTTTTCCGTAAAATACACTTGAGAGAAACCGTTGTCAACAATTTTTTGAGGAAACTTTCTTGTTTAGAAAATATTATTAGCTCAATTTGAAATTTCTTCTTTACAAATCGAGAGAGAACACTAAACCAGCCACGAATATGTGCTGCTTGTGCTTCCTCATCGACTGAGTCTTGTACAAAAACATAATCTTTTTAATGACAGATGTATTCTCGAAGCTAAGTTTGTATGACTAGGCTCTACATTCTACTTGATATTTGTAACAAAAAATTGTATGTCAACAGATGGAAGATGTCTAGAAGTATATTTATTACTTTCTGAACTGATGAAAAGTTTACTTCATGTTTTCAGGTAATGTTCACTGGACCCACACAGTGGGAAGAAGAAGTTCTACTAAGGCGTCCACCATAGTTTTTGACTAGCATCTCTCACCATGTGTGTGGCATCCAAAATTTCCCATGTTTAATTGAACATTCCTATTAAATTTTATTTCACAAAAGCTAAATGATGTTCATCGCTTATTGTCTGTTATTTAAAATGAAAATATTTTTTGCAAAAATGTACTAGATTATACATTTCTCATGTTGTCAATTTTTCAATAAAATCGACGGCTCGAACGATTTACTAATTTTTTTGTTAATCAAGCTGATTTATGATTTTTCTATTAAAGTAACTTTCTTTTATCTTGAAGAGCTCGATTGCTACACAGGAAAGTCATCTTTAATATGTTACAATAACCTTCATCAAGTGGTACCATGTTTTTTTCAATTGATTCAGTTTTCTTACTAATGAATATGTGAGGCTACCATTTGTAATAAATAATCAAGCTCAAAAAACTAAGCGAAAACAGCTAATGCGGCTGATAGAGAAGATATGGACATACTCACATTTGTCAGGAAGTGTAATTTTCAGTAAAAAACTAACATTTTTCTAAAATTTTAAAAATATTCATGCAGCTAGCTATCAAAAAAAACTCAGCAGAAGAATCATGATTTGTCAGAGGATAAATCACAGTCAACTGGCAGTTGCCGGGCGTTTCATACGACATGAGTAATGTTTCTTGTTCTGCTTGTTCTAGAGAATCTCAACGTACCTTAATATTAAACATTGATTATTATCATATCTTAGATTAATATGAAATGCATTAACATGATTAATAGGAATACCACCGGACCAATAAACATGTTTATATTGACGATTATTAATAACACGAACACATAACAATTGATCAAGATCACTTCTTGGCCAATGATAAGCAACACTCGAATGTTTTAATACATGTAAACAATTTTGTTCTAAATCACTATGATCACCAGTTTGTAACATAGCTCGAACAATATGTCGTTGAGCAATGGATAAATCATATGAACATTGATTACTAATCATATATCGTGTACTAAGAAAAATGAAATTTGTTCGACGTAAACGTCCTTTGCCTTGACGAATATCAATACCAATATAATAAATCCAATCAGGTGAACCATGAGGAGAACGAACATGTAATTGACGATAACTTGAACCATGTTCTAGAAATAAAATCAAAAGGATTCTTTTGCTTTTCATAATAAAGAACGAATGTAAAAGAAGAATTTTACCTAAAGTAAAATGTTGTGACCATATTGGACGACCATCATCATTTTTATGTAAACCTGAACCAACTTTCATTACACATGCATGAAAAGCTTCTTGATCACTAAATGAAAATAATAACGGTTCACGATTTCGAGCTAATTCATGTTCATGAGTTTGACCAGCTGTTTCATTCGATGAACCTTCTTGTTTAAAAATTAATGGGATACCTAATATAAATTAATAATGAAAAATGAAAAAAAAAAAATCACAAAATTGATATTACGAAAAACATACCACTCTTATTGAGTAAAACATATGGAACAGAAACTGATATTTTTAGACGATGTCGAATAGAACAAACAATAGTAACATCGACTAATAACAATCGATCAATACTATCATAAAAACCTATTCGTTGATGATGATATCTCATAAGATTTAAATCATTTATTGATGGTACACGTAATGGTTTAATCATATGAAAAAGATCTGTAGCAAAAAGTAAATCAATAGCATCGCCAATATTTAATGCATATTCACGATGTGATTCATACGGACTGAGTCGAATTTTTTGTGGATATGGATATATTTGAAAAAATAAATCACATGGAAGTAAATTACTAATAACTAATGGTGGAAGTATAGATATTTGATATGATGATAGAACATGATCTTTATATGCTAATAAACGAGTTCGTTTTGATTGTATACATATATAGTGAAGTGTATCATTTCCGACCATTGTACATGTACAAAAAAATGATCGACGATCAGTCGAATTTATATCACGATGACGTTGTAAGGAATTTGTCTCCATTGTTGAAGATTTATCATTACTAAAAATTTATACATAGACAAAAAGAAAACGAAATATTTTTTTTCTGGATTTTAATTAACTCAAATATGGATTGCAGCTAGAACTGTAAGCTGCTGAAAGAAAATGCTAGTATACCTTTTCCACTGTCCTCTTCTGAGTTCAATAGTTTTTTGCTACTTGATACTAAAAAGTGTTTTAATAAAAACTTTAAAAGGTTCGGATTCCTATTGATATTTGACTAAACTATCGAATTTTTAATATGTCCATTTTCTATAATACAAGGTTTTTTGGAAAACTTTAATTTTCGCATTTTGATCAGAAATTTTGCGTTTATAGAGATATCAACTAGATCAGCTTCCTTAAAAAGAATTCAGAGGTTTTGAGTACAGTCTCTTCGAGATATAAAGCTTTGAAAACATACATGGAAAAGGATTTACATCATGAAAGTCTCATATCTTGAACAAACTTTGTTCAATGTTGCTGAATTTTTTAATGAAAGCTAATCCAGTTGATTTCTCTATATGCACAAAGTTTCAGATTAAGAGTTGAAAATATGAATTTTCCGAAAGCATGAGACCTCAAGAAAATTGATTTATTTAAAACTCGATAGCTTAATCAAATATCAATAGAAATTGGAACCATTTTATAGTATTATTCAGAACATTATATAGTATCTATAGGCAAAAAATTAATTGAAATCATAAGGAGGCAGCTGAAGATAATCTTTTATCAATCGATTGGCTTTCACTTTTAATCATAGAACTTTAGATTATCTCGCAAAAAACAAATGACCATCCATAGAGATCATTAAACTATTTCAATAGTTTTTTTTTCTCGGATATTTTGTATCCAAATAGAAAAAATTAAAATTTCCATGAAAAGAATTTGTATGACAGTGAATTCATTTGATTTTTGATTACCTTTCATCATTTTGTTTTCCTCTTCGTCTTTGTTCATCGGCAATTTCCATCCAATTAATAGGTTCAGCACAATAATTAAATGTAAAATCAGCTGGACGTACTTGAAATTGTCTTAATGTTGGACAAAATTGTAAAGGTAATGAACGAATTTCATTTGGTTCTAAACGAATATCATGTAATGAACCTGAACCACATTTTAATCGAATATCAATTGATGTTAATAATTGATTACGTATTTCAATAGATGAACGAATTGTTATTAAACGCATTGAACTCTCTGTCATTGTAACATCAATAAAAACAAGTACAGGTTTTTTCAATTGATCACCTAATGGTAAAGCAAGTCGAAAAAAAGTTCCAACACGATCAATTGATATAGGTTGTAACCATTCCCAACCTTCAATTGATATTAATAAACGTCGATCAGAATATGATGATGATGATGATGATAATTGTAATTCTTTATTATTAATATTTTTTTTTGTTGTTGATGATTCAATTGGAAATATAAATGATTTTGTTTCATTATATTCAATAATATGATCATTTAAATCAAAACGTTGTTGTAATGATAACCATGTACGAAATTTTACACGTTGTCCAATAAGATTTTTAAAACAATATGGTTCAAATGGTTTTGGTCGACGAAAATACATTGTTTCTTTATTTATATCATTTGTATGATAATAATCTTCAAGCCAATTATTTTTAACTAAATCAAATAATTGATGCATTGTTTTTGTATAATTTATATTTAATAAATGATTTGAACATATTGATAATGTTTTTGATATATTAGAAGTTTTTAAACTCATTTGTAATGGCCATAATTCAATAAATGGTTCATAACCAGATAGTAAACGATTATAATAATCAATATTTAATTGAAAATCTGCTTGTTGAAAACGATATGTTTCATATTCAATTATATTTAATTTAATTGCTGTTAAATTTAAATTTAATAATGGAATATTTGCATTAAGACAATCATCAATTAAACAAAGACTTATTTGATCACATGAAAATTTTATAGAATGAACATTTAAAAATATTTTTGATGTTTTTTCATTATTTATTTCTTCAATTGAATTTTGTTGTTTTTCAATATTTGATAATATAGTTGAACGAATACGTAAATCAACATGATTATCTTCAGAAGATAAATCTGTTAAAAGATCATTATTATTAACACTCGATGAATGTTGTATTAATTGATTTATTCTATATTTTGGTATTATATCACGAGATTGTGCATGATCAATTTGTTTTTTAATTGATTGAAACATATATAACATTAATTTAACATCAGAATATGATAAACGTATAAATAATTGTGGTAAATTAACTTCAAATATATGTTGATCTTTATTTTTTGATAAATGTATATTAAATGTTATATTAATTGGTTCAATAATAGATACAGCTGTTGATTGTATATTATTCATTTGACATGAAAATAAGGTAACATTAAATAGATTACAATCTAATGGATGTTTACACATAGCTTCTCTATATGTTAATATCATAATACCACTTAAAACAAGTGCATTTGATTGTTGATTATTTGTTGTTTGAACAAGAACAAGTTCAGATTGATTAAAATTTAAACGTAATTCAAAATTTTTTTTTGTTTGAATTAATGTCGATGATATTATTGAATTTGTTTGCATTGGAATATGTTGAAATGAATTAAGAAAATCATTTAATTTAAGTAACCAATCAATAATAAATAATATTCTTGTATGATTTAAAACAATTGTATATTTATCATCAGTTTTAGTTGATAATAAATGTATTTCTAATTGCATATTACTTTTACTTGTTGACATTGTTGATGATGATGTAAGTATATCACGAAATTGATTATTATTTTCATTTCTTGTATCATTTAATTTAATTGATGTACATGTTAAATCAAGTACTTGATTATTATTTGAATATTTTTCAAATGAAAAATATGATTTTATAAATGCACAATAACCTAATGAATAACGTTTTGATTCATTTGGTATAAATATTTCAAAACCAACATTATCCATTTGTATAATAAATAATAAATCAAGAAAAACATCACCAGTTAAAACTGTTGATACACATAATGGATCATCATTCATCATTGGTAAACGTGTTGGTTGTTCTAATTGTTCACCTATATTATATGCAAGTATACTACGTACAAGAGAATATTGATATGTATCAACAAGAATATCTATAGATGATAAATCAGCTTTAACACTATATGTTGGTGATGAATGATTTAATGAACTATCAAGATTACGTTCAATATGTATATTTAAATAACAACGTTCACGTAACATTGATGATAAATCATTATTTATTGTATGAAAACCAAACGTTGAAAATTTTACAGTAAATTTTATATTTGGATCTAATTTTGAATATATACCTGAATAAAGTAATGTATCTTGAAATTGTATTGATATAACATCAAGTAAACATTTTGAATTTTTTGGTCTATTCATTATTGAACTTAATGTACCAGGTTCATTTTCATAAAGAAAACGATTTTTTATTATCACATTACCAAGATGAAGAATAATAACATGTTTATTTAAAGCATATTCAGGTAATATAAGTATTGGACTTTCAGCTTCAATATCAAGTTCAATACCAGTTGCTCGTCCAGCTGAACAGGATATGATTTGTCCAGCTGCTGCTGATCTTATTCGATTATAACATTCTTGATTATTATGAAAACGATCAAAAAAATGAATAAGATCCATTAAAAAACGTTGAGTATGAATATATTGTACAGATGTCATACGTAAATAAAGTTGTAAACGTGATGGAAAATTTGATGAACTTATTGGTATAAGATCTTCTTGTTTTGTATATGTAAATACAAGAGCATTTGTGCCACTTGTACAAAAACGTTCTTCATATAATGCACCAAATGATGATAAATCATGAATTGAAACTGATCCAAGTTTACCATTAACAGTAAGATTTTTGAGTGCTTTTTCGATTGTAAGAAAATTTTCAATACGACAATCGAAACGTTGTAAAGAAATACGTATAGGAGGAATATGATCATCTTCAAGTAAACATGCTACTGCATCGATATGAATATTTATTTGCATTGAATCAGTATCTGATGTTGAAGTAAATTCTTTATTTTCTCGAATGTCTATACAAAAAAGAAAGCAATAAAAAAAATTATGTATACATTTTTGTTCAATAATTATTCAACAAATGAAATATACAGTAAAACCTCAAATATCAGTTTTTTTTTGTTGCTACAACATTTGTTTAAAAAATACCATCAGACTGCAAAATCTCCATACCAATAAGCTAAAGGCATGAACTCTTTTTAGAGTATTCATATCTCATTTGGATTTACAAAATGCATATAATCTCAATTGAAAAGTGATTGAATAATTGGAGGGATTTCCTTGTTCGATGGCTATCGTGGCTTTATTTGATAAAATCTTGTATTTTTGTTTTCGTCTTGATATATATGATGTCACATATAGTCGTTAACATTTATTACATCAGAGCTTTTCAATTTTTCTTATATACTTTTATTTTGGTCTCTTTGGTTATCATTTAAATATTCTTTATTTTCCATTTTTAAATATTGGATACATAGTCGGGTAGTCAAAGTTTTGCGATCGGGTTGGACTCAAGTTTATTTCATTAATCTCCATGAAAGCCTCATTCCTATGAATAGTTGGTATACTCCATAGCGCTTAGAATTATGCATCACCATTAAAATAGAGATGAGTAGTATGTATTTAGATTAAACTATAGCTCTAGAATTCTGTTCAACAAGATGACGTAATGTTACACAATATGAGTTAAAATACCACTAGTTATAGCATTCTATTCAGAAAAATTCATTTCGAGAGATAATGTTGTGCGCCAGTCAACGAAAAGTACTATATCAATTTTGTAGTTGAGAATTTTCAGTTGGAATCATTAATGGACTCGTTAGTGGTTAGATTACCCAACTAATTAGTCGGACAATTCATAATATCAAATATAAGCTAGTATGAGTAGGTACGCGTACTGCTGAGCATTTTAAGGTGTACCAACTATTGATAGGAATAAGACTTTTTTATAGGTACTAATGAGTTCAACAGCAGCTGGGTACGGATCGAATTTCATGTAGTTCACAGAATCGAGGCAAATATTTTATTTCCAGTTGACTTACATTTTAATGAATTATCACCACTATTGTGATCATTAATTAATCGAATTTTTTCATTTAATGTAAGATACGGTTGAAATATCATTGCTTTGCCTGATATGTACAGTTATAAAAAAAAACAATGAATAACAATTTTAGTGTAGTAGCTAGAAATGATGAATAAACGAAAGAGGGTGATAGAGTGCACGTGTATTCATTTAAAAAGAGGTTAAAAAAATCAATCGGGTCTGTAACAACCATGCTCAAGTTAAGTGTAGAAAGATGTAAACTGATACAGGTTTTACTGTATTGTATTTTTATAAAAATAAAAAAATAAGAAAATATCTTCTGTTTTATGTTTTTTTTTGTTACCTGTCATTGCAGACGAAGAAGTTCCTCCAATTAAACCAATAATATCAAATAACATAACCCATGTTGAAATAATAAATTTAATGTCAACTTCTCCAAATTGTGCATCAGCTTTTATATTAAATCCATCAAATAGTTCATGTCTTTTATCCATTAATGTAATATTAATATCAATAAATGCTGGTGTTGATGATGATGTTGTTATCATTGAAGAAGAAGATGATGATGATTTTAATGTCCATGTTGAACTATCATTTGTAACCATATATGTTGGTACTGAATTTGAAGAAAATTGTTTATGTATGTCATAATTTTCCGTTGGAAATGATGATGAAATTTTTTGATCATTTGAAAAATAATTTGATATGGAATTTTTTCGACAACGTGTTGAAAAAAGACATTGATCAGCTTTAATCAAATGATCATTAATATGAAGTGAATTAAGACGAAGTGAAATATTTTTACAGAATTGATGTCGTTGTTCAATAGTCATTTGAAATTGTCCAAATATAGCTTCACATACTTTAGTTGGTTTTAAATCTAAATCAGCTTGAAAAACAAGTATTAATTCAGGTAATTGAAAATGTATTGCAAATGTATTAAATTGTGTTTGTGAAGATTGATCATTTAATGAAAAATTATTTTCTTCTTGATCATATAATAATAATAATGATTCATCATCGGATAGATTTGTAATTAATGTGTCACTTTGATCATTTTCATTATAAGTTAATGAACTAATTATATTTTGTAAAAGTGTTATTTGATGTTTACCAAGAAACATTTGTACAGATGAAACTAATTTTGAATCAATTGTTGTTGATGTATCAGTTAAATTAAGATTAAGATGTATTGATAAATTATCAAGTATAGGTAATGATAAATGAGGATTTTTATACATACGTATTAAACTTGTTCCTTGATTATGACGATATTCATGTTCAAGATCAATAGAAAATAAATGTAAATCATTAATTTTAATTTCATAATTTGATGAATGATTTTCAGAATTTTCAATATGAATATCACCAAGATGAAAAACAAGACGATCATTTGTAAAAAGTAATTTTGATTGAGGACGAAATATTAGAATTGGAGTAGCAAGAACAATATTTAAATTTAATTGACGTGTTGGTTTTTCTGTTGGAAGTACTAGAAATGGAAAAGAAAAAATATCATTTAACGTGTCACTTAATTAGTTGTGAAATGATCAGTTTACTAAATATAATTAGCAATAAAAGATTTCACTTCATATCAGTTAATGATACAAAATTCACCAGTAGAAAATAAATTTAGATGAATCAAACAAAAACAGAAGAAATAAGAAGAAATTTAAAGAATAATGAAGCAAAAAAGGAAAGCGAAAATCGAACCATTGTATTAGTACAGTAGATTTAGCCCTTGTTGGTCTACCTTTTATTGGGATGTGGGTATGGATGGATAGAAGAGCTATCCATATCCACACAGTCACACACACGCCCCTATTTATAAACTTAATTAGATAGTAACCGACCATTTAATTAGTTTACTAATTAATCATAAAATTGACTGATTTTATGATTATTTCATTTACTAACCAATAACCATATTCTTGAGAAAAAATTCAATTTTCTCGTTGATTAAATTAACGTTTTTTTTAGTTTAACAAAAATAGAAGAATATATAACAAACTTGATGTATAGACTTCTGCAGAATCAACGAGTGTAATTCTGTTTCGGAGAAACTCCGAAATTTTCCCGCCTAACATATATAGCTCTTTTTTGTGCTACTTGTTAACAAGAATGTCTCTGTGAATAAAGTATGAGATTATTTCTCTCACAATATCGGTCACAGATGAATTAAAATGAGCTCATCTGGAATATCTTTGAACTTTTTACTGTTTTGCGTTTACCTCTTATCTTAAAAGCAGTACAAATGATACTCATACAACACCTGCATTGAAAATATGTTTCTAGTTGTTAAGTTTATTCATAAAAGTTTTAATATTGCACATATTCTCAAATTCTTTGTATTAATCTGTCATAATACTGCGTGTTACTATTTTATGAAATGCAATGAGTATATAGTGTTAGAAAAGAAAGTATGAAGAGACCTACAACAACTCTCAATTTAACAAACCGATTCTTTTTAGAAAACTGGATCCAATGAACAGTTCTTTTTCCATGAAGTAGGCCAAGTGACTAGTTCATTTTTTCAGAATCGAATCTTTGGATTCTACCATTAAGTTTCTATTCACTTCATTCCAGCACATTAGTGTAGTCAAGAAGTATGGCCCAGAATGAAGCTATGATGAATCAAAAGGATAGGTTAAAATGGAATGTTTGGTAGCATCAGTTCATTCAAGAAGAACTGCTACGTAGATTAGTTCCTATTAAAGAACTAATGGAACAGTTCTGAAGATCGAAGCTGATATCAAACTGTCATAGGTCTCACTATGAACGAAATCAAGTCATTAGTGAGTTCAGAAGAAAATGAAAAGATTTCATGATCAATATGAGTGCCTAAAACGTGTTATATCTTATTAATCTTACCGGATTCAGTTGAAAGAACATATTGATTAAGTAAGATTGATCCTTGTTTAATCATATTTTGTTTCATTTTTTCCATTTCAATAGCTGCTGTTGAATGACAATGTTGAGCCATATAATTAAAAATTTTTTCAATTTTAAAAATAATTTTCGGTGAATGTGTATAACAAACAGATGCCATTTCAATTAATAAATCTTCAATTTCATTATCACTACTATCATTTGTATCATCTTTCGATTTTGTATATAAAAGATGAAACGCTTTACTAGGTAAAATTTCGTCATGATCAATATTTTTTATATCAGAATTTTTTTCGTCAATACCAAGATTAATAATAGCACTTGATTCTTCATTATATGTTAATAATAATGAATCATGTAAAAGATTAAATATTTGTAATGAACATATTTCGGCTTCTACTAATGTTGATGATTCAATAAATATATTTAATGATGCATATTTAATTCTAGCTGCAGCTATTTTTTCAAGTTTACTACCAATAAATCTATTCTCAGATGATTTTTTTGTTAAAACATTTGTAAATAAAATACTTAATTCTTGAAATTCACTATTGATTTGAAATTTAGTTGGATGTTGTTTTTCAATAGTTGATTTTATTTTATTTTCTTCTTTAAAATTTTCTCGAAATATATTTTTCGTTGAATAAATTATATTAACAATAAAATTAATTAATATTGATAATGTTTCAGGATTAAATACAAAATGTAATTTATTAACATGTATATCAATAGTTAAACAATTTTCATTTTTATCTATATCTTTTATTGATTGTATATTAATACGTATTAAGTATTCATTATCAGTATCTATTGATAATTTATTTGATTCATATAATGTACCTGTTTGAGTATTTATATCTAATGCACGATTACTTGTTAATAATAATTCGTAATCTTTACCATGATTTTGTATAGCATCAACAATCATTAATGTATGAACACTAAATGATAATATATTTGAATAAATATAATTCATTAATGTTAAATCAATATTTTGTATACGTATTTCTGATAATGCACGTAATTCATCACTTAATTGTATACTTATTTCATTAATAGAAAAACCAAGTGCTAAACGTGCACTTAAATCATCGTTCGAGTTTTTATTATTTGTTATATCAGTTTTATTTGATACAATTGATGATGTTAAATTTTCAATAAATGAACCCCAATTATTAATTGTACCACATAATGTTTCAATACGTAATGGATCAAGATGTAGAATTATTTTTGGTAATGTACCTGAAACTTTTATTAATGGCCATAATAAATCATAGGTTTGTTCTGTCCGATATTGTATTAAAAAACAAACACCAAATTTTTCAATAATTGATGATAAATTATCTTTTGATTGATTATTTGTATATGTTAAATAACCTAATTGCATATCACATAATGATAATGAAAATAATGTATATATTAAATTTTCATTATTATTTATTGGTGATATACTTTGTTCTCTTGAAATGACATTAATAGGATAATTTGTTGTTTCTATTTCAAGTGAATTATCGTTTGCTAATGGTGAACTATCCGGTGTTACAAATTCTTCATCATCATCGTCAGTGATTATTAATGATGGTTGTTCATTAAAAAAGTATGGACGTTTTTGAAAATAATTTGTTATTGATGATGGAGAATTTGAATCATTATTATTATGCATATTACAATTTTTCAATGGACATGTTGATGTTTTATATTCATCATTAATAAATGTTAAATAACCAAAATCAATAATTAATGCACGATGTGATGATTGTGGAATAATCATTTGTGGTGCACAAATATCAAGATAGATATCAAATTTTTTTTTAAAACGTCTTTGACCTTGCTTGATATTTTTTACGTTTGATGAAGACATTTTCGTCATTGTACGAGAAAATATTTGTTCAAATGCTGATTTTAATTGTTTTGTTGTACGATCTTTTAAATGTGTCCAATGCTGAAGAATTGTTGGTGATGATGATGATGATGATGATGATAATGGAGTTGATGTTGGTTCAATAAATGCTGATGAAAAAAAGTTGCGTAAGCGTTCGAAAGATATTGGACAGCAAACAAAACAAAGACCACGACTACGAACAGCGAGTGCAAATGAAAGACGTTTGGTTTTTGGTTGTTGTGCTGGAGGATTTGTTTCATATGAAAATTCAACGACTGGAGCACGTTGTGCACCAATCGGTGTTCTAAAGTAAATGAAATCATTAGTGAAAACGAGTTTTTTCAATTAATTTTAAATGATATAGCATAAAGATCTCTAAAAACAAATAGTAGTTCTAATGAATATTGACAAGATTAAAGCTTTTTTGATAATGATTATATGTATCGTACTAAATTAGGCGTTGAAACCTCCTATTAAAACTATATCATAATCATTTTTATCAATAATGTCAAGAAAATCTCTATTTAAATAGATATTATTTGAAATTATTCGGTAACATACTCGTTTGATCTTTGTTTAGGACAAACAATATTTGAAAATGCATCTGTTCTTAAACGATCACATATATTTAAATCATCTAATCGTAAATAAAAAAGTACAGATTGATGTCTTGGTCTTAATTCTGTTAATACTGATACATTATTTAATGAAAAATGAAAAATAATATCACTAAGAGATAATAAATCAATTTGTACAGATTTCACAACAAATTTTAAACGTAAATATAAAGCATCACGACGATTTTGTGATAAATCTTCATCTTCTAATGATTGTGCTATAAATGTATTAACTTGTTCTTGTACTTTTTTATCATTCTCATTTAATGGTATGTTTGGTGTTGTAGTTGAAATAATTGCTTGATTAATATCTGTTGGTGTTGTTGTTTTCCATAAATCAACTGTTTTTGAACTAATCCATTTTGCGTAACTCATATACCATGAACTTGTTGATTCAATATTTGTTGATTGTGGTTGATTTTTATTAACTAAAGAAAATTGTTCATTAGCACGTTTACGAAATATAACTCGACGAATTTTAATTAAACAATCAAAATCAAATTCCATTTCAATTTCGTTCAGAGTTGAACGATCTGTTGAAGTAAAAGAACTAGTTGTTGTACGTTTTAAATATTTATTATCAAGATATAAACGATATAAACGTTTATATGTTAATAATTGTTTTAAACGTTTATTTAATAAAATTGGATTAAACCAAAAACTTGCTGTTGTATGTGTTTGTTCATTTGATACAGGAATCTTTAAATAATTTTGTGTACGTATTATAACTAATGTTATATAACGCCACCATAATTTTGCTGAATCTTTTGATATTTTTTTATTTGGTCTACTTGGATCATTAATAAATTTTCTATGTGTATTTGCATAATGAATAAAACGTATAACATCTGACAAGATACGTATTTGTTCAATACTTGATTTTAAACTTAAATCATTAAATGTCCATTCAAGTTCATAACGTGGTTGTTGTCGATTAATTAATGCTGAACGTATATAATTATGTGTTAAATAAATTTTTATTGAATTTGAAGGTATAAGAATATATGAATGATTTGATGAATTATCTTTATTTGTATTTGAATCAATATAAAGTGCAAGATTATGTATTTGAAATATTTTTCTATTCATATTTTCATTTGATAATTCATTTGATATTTGAATATTATCAAATGATAATCCAACTGTATATGGATTATTATCAGATGTAAAACTTTCATAACTAATATGTACATCAATAATATGTACTTGAAGTTTTTCTAAAAACGATAATATTAAACGTTTTAAACTCCATGATGATGATTTAACTTCACCGAGATATTCAAATTCTTTTTCTAATTGTTGTTCAGATAAATCTAAATGATTTCGTTTTTTAACTATTTCATTTTCTTCAACAAATTCTTCTGTTTGATTTTCATTATCATCAAGAATAATTGGTTTTATTATAGCACGAACATGTTCAACTAGAATAGTTAATGCTGGTGATGATGAACGAAAAAATAATGAACTCCATACAAATGAACATTGAATTTTACCAACATGTAAGGATTCAATTTCAATCGGTAATTTTAATTTTTTTCGAATATCATTATTAAGTGTTGTTTTGTTAAATGTTAAATTTTCCACCACAATCGGTCGACCATAAAGCAATTGCACAGACAATTGATCAGCATTTATATCGACATAGCGGGCAACATAACCTTTTAGTAATGCAGCTATAACCGCTTCAAACATGCGAATAAATTATTTGAATGAATGGAAAGCAAAAATATCCAAAACGTAGATCTACAACATGTAGACTATATATCCATAATATACGTCTTTTTATGTTAATTAGATTATATTCCGAAAAGTAAACTGTATGTTTATTCATTCATTTTAATAGAACAAACGAGCAGTATAAAGAGAGATAAGACAATATTCATATACAAGTCAAGTGAAAAAGGCACTTGTGTTTCGAAGAAAAAAGTTTGAAACTAACAAAAAAAAAACCTGAGAAGCAACACGATAATATAAATACACACTAATATTGCACAAAATTTTTCAAAAAAGACTTATACATCTGACAAGTCGAATATCATTATTCGCTGAACGATTTAATTCACACAAATCTACGCATATGAATAAGAATAAAGTATGTATAAAACAAAAACAAAACAAAGATTGAAAAACAAAAATTGATTTTCTATTCATTCAAGATAATATAAAGAAGAGAATAAATATATCTCACTGCACAAATAATATTGTTTAGCCACGATGAAGCTTTGATGTTTCAATTTCTTCACGAATTGCTTCTTCATAATCGCACAATTTTCGACCATCTTTTATATGAGCATAATTAGCAACAAGAGAACAAAGAAAATGAATCTAAAATAATATTTTATTTAAGTTCTATCTAATAAAATAACGAACAATAGTCATTCTTACCAAACCCATAACAACCAAAAATGAACCAATTAAAGCTGCTAAATATCGTGGTGTATGATCCGTCTATAGTAGAAAATGAATAAAGAACTCTACATAAACTTTTTATTTAAAAAAAAAAGCTTTTACCAGTGTACATAATTCAAAAAATCGTTGTTGACATACTTTTACATCAGGTTTATGTTTTGGTACAGGGATTCCGTAAGTTCCTGGTGTAAGACATAATACTGGTAAAGCAGTATTTGTTACACCAGATGTTGTCGGTGTTGTAAATGCTTCGTCACAACGATATTTAAGAATATATAAACCCATACATGGTACCACTAATGTTAACATAGTAAATAACCAAATGAGTAACAAGATATAAACAATAATAATAAACTAAAATATATTCAATTCATGTTGCTTCCTGCTGCGTAAATTTTTTTTATTACAACTTACAAAACCAGTTGCAATACGACCTCCCAAACGAGAACGAAATCCTGTATAAATTTGATGACGTGTAGCGCCTGTAGCTAATGATCCGACAATAAATAAAATCAATGAAAAACTTCCCATTATAGTCAGAACAAAAATGATAGCTAAGCGTATAATTCGAATCCTTGAAAATAAAAAACAAAAACAAAAAAATACTAAATATTTCAATTATTTTATATATTCTACCAATCATAATCAATATATTCTATTTCGAATACATAATTAATTCGTTCAATTGTTGCTTGAAGTGGATAATAAAGACAACCACAACAAATACCTGTACCAATTAATGTTAAAAGAAATGCAAGTAATGATGCTAATGGACAACTTCCACAACAACGATAAGAATCTATACAAAAGGAAAAACAGTTTCCAACAAAAAACAAAAACTTTGGGAATCCTATCAACTAACTATTCTGTTCATACTGTATTTCAGACATCGTTCGTTCAGACCAAAGCTCTCGACTTCGATCAGCAAAGCGGCTAACATCATCTATTGAAAAACAAATAACTAAAGATAATGTATTTTATCATAGTATACATACGATCATGAACTACCATATTGCTAGAATGAAAAAAAGGATAAGAATTGAGTAAGAAGTACAAAGGTTTGATTGTATCACCGATTAAACGAACGAACGAATGTTGACAGACAGACAGACTGAGTAAATAAGCGATCACATAACGAAGCAAGCAAATAGAAAGACAAAAACTATCATTGATCAAATTTTTAGACCAATCAAATTCTATGTTACATAAAATTGCCATTTATTTTCTTTTTATGACGCTACAATTGTTATCAGACACAACAAAACATTCTTGGCGACAAATTTATAAAGATCCTATCGACATCAATCATTCTTTTTTTTTTAATCCTTTAATCTATTAAAATTCTATTTATGAACGATTCAATAATTATGAATAATTATGATGATGATAATACGATTGAACATGCTGATGAAATAGTTAGTGATATTATTTCATTGATACATTCAACAACACATTCAAGTTATGTTACATGTTCACAATTATCTTCTAAACTTATTTCTTATTTATCTCAAATACATATGAATGATAATCAATGGGATGATTTAGAAAAAGCTGTTGAAGTAATTTTATAACAAGAAACTCGTAAAATTAGAATTTTTATGTTTTACTTTTTTTTTAGCGTTTTGATCAAAGTAATGATCATCCCGATCTTCGCCGTTTTCGACAACTAATAGAAACAATAAGTATATGTTCAAATGATTGTGAAGAACGAAACTATACATTAGGACGTGATGCTAATACACTCTTTGAAAGCATTCGTCAATTACAAGAATTATTAGTAAGAAAAAATCAAAATAATGCATTAATAAAAAATTTCATAAGGAAACAAAAAATTCTTGTTTTCATAATGGATGTCTGATATGAGTTCTATAGCTTTTATAATATCTATTTCCGGAAAATCATTGAACACAGAATTTCCGATCACATAGATGCGCAGAGCTATTTTTGATGGATGAAGATTATAAATAGAGTTGTAGTCTGCCTACCAATGTCATAAAAAATTATAATCAATTTTTTACGAATGTTCAAAAGAATAAGTTCGAGAGTGTTCTTGGATTGCTCTATTTCAGAACTCGAATAGCTTGAGGCAAATAAATCCATAAGATAGGAACAGAAAAAAAATAATCAACATAGACTATAAAAATTTGTTTGCTCTATCTTCTTAATTTTTTTTTTGATTTCTTCATTATAAAAAAAAATTATTGATTTTTATATTCTAGCAATCTCATGTTAGTCTTCAGTGTACTTTACTTTCGAAATTAATTGAACAAAAAGATATACAATTACACTTAGGTGATTTAATGAATTTAACTGGCATGGTTCGTTATTCAATTTATTTATTTATTCATTTATTCAAAGAAAATATTTCTTATTTTTTTTTTTTAGAATGTTGGCAATCAAACTCATGGTATTCTCTGTGACATAGTTCATCTTTTATGTCAAATTAATCGAACATTTTCTGTAACAAATGTAATCGATCATCCAATAGTACCAAATTGTATTCGAATTATTCAAACAAGTATTAATAGTATTTGTTCAACAGGTGTCTAAATATAATGCATGTGTATGTAGTTGCTTCTTTTGTTCATGTTTATATTACCGTTCAAACTAAATAGTATTTTGTATGTAATGTTAAATTTAAGTTTGAACAGTAGTGTTGAGTATGCTGTGCTTATCAAACAACATAGAATCAATAAGATATATTATGTAAATATTTTTAGGTGACAATGCTAAATCAACGGTGACTTTTGCACTTCGTCTTCTAACAGATTTACTTTTAACAAATGAATTATTTCCGGTGCATGTTTATGGTAAATATCATATTTTGTTTTCTTTGAACATTTATATGATTATGTTTAGGTCAATTATCGAATTGTGTTTTTTTAAAAAGTATATTTGATTTGATTGAAAATAATGGTGAAGATGATGAATTAATATTAACAGCAATTAAATTTATATTATCATTTAATTTACGTTTTGATTATCCTCATGAAAATCCTATAATGCTTACATTATTAGCTGTTAATGAACAATTATCATGTAGAGAATTAATTGAACGATTAATTTTATTATTTAATCGAAGTGGTAAGAAAATAAATGCAGACTAACAACTTTATTTTGTTTTATTTTTTATTTTTTCAAAAACAAGTTGATCCAATTGAATGTAAAACAACAAATTCAGTAATAAAATTTTTTTCTGATTTATTTGGTGACCAAGCAACAACAAGTGACGTACTTTTATATGATTCAGATCGTCGTTTAATTGTTGAAATCATAAGTCGAGAATTATCAGATCGTCCAATAACTGACGAAGTAAGAATATTTTTCGAAAATAATCTTTTTTCGTTAGTTTAATTTTATGTTTTAGACAACGACAGCTTACTTATCATTATTAGAATTGATTCTTCGTAGTCAATCAATAACTTCTGAAACCTGTGCGCGTATTGATGAACTTCAAACAGTTTTTCGAGCACATTTATATGCTGAAAATTGTTTAAAACAAAATCGTTTTATCATAAATGAAATTCTTCGGCAACACTGTTGGTTATCAACCAATGACATGCCATTTTATCTTTAAAAATATTTTTTTTTCCTCATTTCTACTTTTTATCTAGAGATATATATGTATTTTTTTTCATAGTTGGCTGATATAATTTAAAAAGAAATAAAATAAATAAATTTGCTGGTAGACAAAGAAAAAATATATATTTAGAATTGTAGATTTTTAAAGTAAATTCAATGCCGGGTATAACAACAAATGATAGTGTACAACAAATGGCTGATGAAAAACCGAAATTACCTGAACAAATCGATTTAGAAGAAGCTGAAACAGCATTAGCTGGAAAAGATTACAAAACAGCTCAAGAATTACTTGAAAAATTAGGTAAAATGTTATATTGAATAATTAAAAAAAAAAACTAAGAATATTTGATTTTAATAGTTAAACTTCAAGTTATTGTTGATAATGAAGATTCAGCACGAATTAAAGAATTAGCTATACTTGCTCTTGGAAAACTTTTTAAGGAAACAAAAGATGCAAAAGGTATAAAAATAATTCTTTTTTCTATTAAAACAAAAATATAAATTAATATTATTTCTTTAGCATTGGCATCTCTAATTAAAACAACACGTTCATTTCTTGGTCTTGTAAGCAAAGCTAAAGCAGCTAAGCTTGTGCGAACACTTGTGGATCTATTTCTTGATATGGAAGCTGGTACTGGTGAAGAAGTATGTCAAATCTTTTTTTTTTTAATATTTAGAATCTAGTTGAGATTGGAATAATA